GAAAGCCTTCTCCCTGCTTAATTTCCAGGGACCCTAATATTGCAGTACAAGTCCATTGATTGGATTTTGACTAGGAGGAGTTTGTCCTCATGTTGCATTGTCAACGGCAAATTTGAGAGTGAAAATATTATTTTTGTTACCATGGCTATGCTCTATCTGAGTCTTTAAGGCCTCTTGTGAATAAAAAAGAAGAAGCATACACTCTTGACATGCACTGGACTGAATTTAAAATCCTTTTCTATAACTTGTAAGGTAACAGAACCTAGTCAGTATCCACCAAGTGTTCTTGATGATTCAATAATCATTAAAATCAATTCTTTCATTGTGATCAAGTTTATCGTGTAAAGAATTACTATTTAATAAGCATATCTTGTGCTTTGAAAGTATATATGATCACGGGTTTAGATCTATAAAACCCAGCAGCTAGCTCTTATGTCAGAGTTAAAAAAAATACATCACAGGACATGAAATAAAAGCCAGTCATTCTAGCTAGATAAGAAAAACTAATGGTGTCTAGATTTGTGATGCCTGGGTCCACAGTAATCTTCATGAATGCTAGGTAACCAGTGATGTGAAGATTTCTTTGACACTGATCTTTTCTTCATGGTACCTATACAATTCCCTTCTTTGCAGAGAATGGCTTCTCGTCCAAGAACCCTAGTACTCATTTCCTTCAAAGAAGTTTATATTGTTATTCCCCTGCACATCACAAGAACTCCCATCAGAAATAATTCCCTTCTTTGCATAGAATGGCTTCTTGTCCAAGAGCCCTAGTACTAATTTCCTTCAAAGAAGTATATATTGTTATTCGCCTGCACATCACAAGAACTCCCATCAGAACAGAAGCTGATATGAAATACTAAAAAGACTCGTTAATTTTATTGCATCATACAGTGTGTAAAGAACTGAAACCCACATGAACCTTTTGAGCTCCAACTTGCATGAATCCTTTTTCCAAGTGAATCCCTACACAAATTAACAGCACATGTTCAAACCTAAAGACATACAAAGCAAAATCGGGTCTCTTAACTTAACACGACTGATATTATTGAATATATACCTTGAGACCCTTGAAGGAGAAACGGAAAAAGCAGAAGAGAGACTACTAAAGAAGGCCTCATTCAGAAAAACATTGAGAAGAAGAGATAAGAGTAATTAAGATATGGAAAAAATCAAGCAGTTCGCTATATATTTCTGAAGTCTGGTACAGAGGACACGGATTAACGTGGGTTTAGCCGAATTCTAAGTACTTTTAAAACTTGTATTCTGTAGAGTTTGTGCATGAATGGATTATAAATACTGTAGCTGGAGGCAGGGGTGGAGCTGGGATTACTTAACAGGGAGGGCCAAAAGTAATATAATAGGGATAAATTTTTACATGTAAAACACGTTAACATATAAAACTAAAATTAACATAGTAAAAAAATTGATATATAAAAAAAAAATTAACATAAAAAATAAAATTATTAATTCCAAAAAAAAATTAAATTGAATTAAAACGGGGTATATATTCTTTAAAGAATTTAATTTAACTAAAAAGATAATGAAAAATTTATTAGATAAATTTATTAGACATGTGAGAAAAAACTAATAATTTTAATGATTCTACTAAAAATAAAATAGAAAAAAAATCTAAATTTAATCAAAACAAACCTATAAAATATATTCAATTTATTAGAAAAAACGACATTCACTATAATAAAAAATTAAAAAATGATAAAGCTAGTAGGTTTAGAAAAAAAAATATCAAAATTATATATATAAATCTCTTGAAATTCTTAACAAACATAAAAAAAAATTAAATTTAAATCATTAATTACCTTATTTTGATAAACAATAAATTAATTAACAGTTTTATTTTAATCTTTCTGCATTACTTTGTATTATTATGTTTTTTGGTTAGGATTCTAAAAAAAAACAATAAAAAATAATTAAATTGAACAAGTTATATTTTTGTTTAGGTTATATTTTTGTTTTTACAACTTGAGATAATTTTATATTTAATGATAATTAATTAATAAAATAATAATTTATTATTAAATAATCTATTATTTATTATATTTAAATACTAAATAAAAAATATCTAAAATATTTTACAGGGGCGGGCCCTGCTTGCCACCCCTTGGTTCCGCGTCTGGCTGGAGGGGTAATAGGTTGACTATAAATACGGTTTTTAGGGCCACAAAGCACGTAGTTCTCCAACATGAAACTGTAATAGAAGAGGGGATTTTTCTTCCACTGCCTTTTCTTTTTCCCCTGTCTTTCTAGTGTATAGTGCAAAAGTTTGACAAATGGCCGAAATATTGACCAACCATTGATTCATTCATTAGGGCATCCTACGAAATTAATCCAATTAAAAAAAATGAGAAGATCATGAGCCTTTATTTTCAAGTAGGCGCGTTTAAAAGCTTAATAATGGTGTCAAATTCAGTATAAAATCAACAATCTGTATGTTTTGTCTTATATATATTAACCTACATAGAAATTGTTTACTTGGATAGAGTTTGTTTAGGATCTCGGGATAGAAGCAACGTAGATAGAGTTCAATTGTTTAGGATCTCGGGATAGAAGCAACGAAGATAGTTGGATAGAACATACCTGTTTCTAAGTTTTATTTTATTTTTATAAAAATGACTTAAATTTATTTTAAAAATATTCAAGATAGATTTATTTTATATTTCTGTTTTTATTTTCAACAAAATATGTGTTATATTTTTCCTGTTTTTATTCCTATTATCTTCAAAAACCAACCAAATATAAACTTGATTTTGTTTTTTTTTTTAACTAAATAGATTTATGTTTTTCTTGTATTTATCCTTATACACCAACCGAACATAAACTTGATTTTATTTTTATTTTTTTAACTAAATATATTTATGTTTTTCTTGTATTTATCCTTATTATCCTTAAACGCTAACCAAACACAAATTTAAAATAAAAAAATATAAATATTGCAATGATTTTACAGCATGAAAAACTTTAGGGTGACATCAGTAAATCTATCTTGGAGGGAAACTAAACATTTGGTCAAAGAAATTGAAATTTGACAAGAATCGACAATCAATCAACTAATTAGGAAAACATGTTTTTGGTTCTTGAGTTTGACATAAAGACAATACTGCTGGTAACTATTTTTCTCGGGTTTACAACAATATGCTTGCCAGACAGTTTCCGTATCTTGGCATGCGCCTAAATGGAAAGCCGAAATTGGTATGCGACAAGAATACTTTATTTGAGCTAATAATAGAATATCCAAAGCAGAAAAACATGGTCTTACACTTTGAAAAGTTCTGTTGTAATTAAATATGCACGATCCAGAGTCTTAATGACTAGGAATATTTACTCAGCTTTTATTTAACTCAAATTGAAATAATAAAGATAATTCCTGCCATGATATTGCATGGGCCTGCAGCCAGTGGTGATGCCACTTAGGAGAAATTCTTTAGAACTAATTATTTACTTTTGCGCAAGATCAATCTTCTTTCGAGTTTTGAAGGGCAAAAAACAGCACAGCATAACCAGCAATATCTGGGATCTGTCAACGAATGTTATCTGTCGAAAAAGATTCACAGTAATCAATAAAGAAACAAGTTATGTCACGAATTAGTGTGGATGAGACAAAGTGAAATATGTTATTAGAATATATACATATATATATGTTGAATTTGTAATTATATTAATCATCATCAAAGTGCATCATATCAAGTCTCATGTCTGCATTATAAATACTGTCAAATCATAAACATCGGCTAGAATTAGAAATGAAATTAAACTTCACTCACCGCAGCCACATGTAAATCCACCGTGAGGGTGATTAATCCTGAATACCAGTGAACAAAGCCTGCCACTGTTGACAGGATCTGCAGCACAAATAACAAACAGTTTATTAAGAGTATTTATGATCAATATCACCTTGACGGGTCTAGATATATAACGAGCTGTAAACATTCAAAATGTGGCAATGTGTCATGTGGAAGGATTGAAGAATTAGTAAGGGAGTAGAAGATTTGTTAGAGAAAGAAAGAGATTGAATCAGAGAACGAACATCGAGCACACCTCATTTCGAAAATAAAATATAAAATTATGAATGAGGTAAAAAATTATATGTTTTAAAAGCATATGTATACGAGCATCAGCTATCCATTAGCAAATTCCAGAGAGTGGAGCTTTGAGCATGATTGGTGATTTTTTTATTCCGAAACAAGCAAAAAGATAGAAAAAGGAAATGAAACACACACACACACGAACTTTGATTTCAGAACGAGAGATTCAAGGAATATCTTGGAATGGTGAAGAGAAACAAAGCATTTTCATGTTTCTCTTTTTTTTTTCTTTATGAATGGGATCAAAATTTTATGGAGTAGAAAATGAAAGCACTACAAATAGGTTACATGTTCTGCAAAATAATGTTCATTGATCAATGTAACCGAAGCAGATGGATACTCGTCAAACAAAGAGCAGGAACCTAAAGAAAAATAACAGGGCAGCGATAACTGATCCTCTCATCAAAACTATGAAACCCTCTAGTGGATCACGTGTTGTGGAAACGTAGTTTGTGTTAATGAAAAAGAAGAAGATGGAATTGTTGAAAGAATTGTTATTGATTATGTATCTTTATAATATGAAGATATATATTTATTATCCGTGTTCTTTATCTACAAGCAGTAGTTATTGAATCTACATATAGTAAATTAATACATTATTAGTATTAATACAAATTATAGTAATTAATCAGACTCGAAATCTAACCTCGAAAAAAATAAATCCTAGTTATTGGATCTTCGAGTTAATCAAATCTACATTTTTATTCAAAATAATATATATATATATATATATATATATATATATATAGAGAGAGAGAGAGAGAGAGAGAGAGAGAGATGCAATGAAATGATATTATATTATTTATCCTTTCATCATGTAACTTCCGCGGTTACAAAATCCAGTCAGCTTCCACAAAATACTCACGATGATTCGATAATCATCTAAACCATAGTACAAGAATAATTATAATATCAATAAAATATGATATCATATGTATAGAATCATTCCTAGCTAGCCCTAAAAAGCTGCAGCATTCCTGTGATGCTGTTTAACTTATATTCACTTTATTATATCTTGAAAGACTTAATTATCTCTCCCTCTCTCGTTATCAATTTGTACCGACTGCACTTAATTGTGTATTGGAGATTTTCTCCCCGCTGGAGAATAGTCCATTTGAGTTAAGTCCATAATTTCCTCATAGTGATCCTCGTTGACTTTATGGTCAGAATTCCGCCAAGAATTTACCAAAAGTTTTTCACGTTCTCCCATTATTTCTCCTTTACTCGATCTCCCCTTGGATATGGAGCCAGCTTTATTTCCTTCGTTCTTCTCATTCTTCACAAGAAGGTAAGAAGAAAAGGTAAGAGGTCTTACAGACACACACACACACATGTATGTATGTATTATTTCTAAGGTAGTTATTGAAACTATGTAATATTTACATAATAACCAACCTTAGAAGCGGTGATAGTAGTGCTAGAAGTAGAGATTGTCACAGCAATAAGTTTCCTACCCATTCCTGCAAGAATATACAAAGAAAATGATTTAGGATATATGATTGGATGAGGTGTGGTCAACATTTTCATTGCTCGTTGTTCATTGAGCTTCTACTCGAAACATTAAGGACAAGACCCCATTTAATGATCGAAGCTAGTTTAATCGGTGAAGATGAAAAGTTCGACAATCAATTTCTTGGGGACAAATTTCCTTTTTAGAGTACTAACAGTATATGATCAAGGGTTTGAATCTTCTAAAACCCAGCACCAGACTTTTAAAATAAATAAAAGTCAGGCATTCTAGCTAGAGAAACTAATGGTGCTTAGGTTTGTGATTCCTAGGACCGTAGTAATCTTCATGGATGCTTGGTAACCAGTGATGTGAAAAGTTCTTCGACGCTGATTTAGAAACTCTTTTTTCCGTACTGGTAATGGTACCTGTACAATGCTCTTCTTTGCAGAGAATTGCTTCGCCAACAAGTACATCACCACTAGCACTTCTTTCTTTTAAAGAACTTTTGTCCTCCTGCACATCAATCACTTTCCCATCGGAACAGTATTCACTTGAATGCATCACGGTATGTGTAAACTAAGCATCAAGACACTGAACAACCCACCTGGACTTTCTGAGCTCTAACTTGCATGAATCCTTTATGCAAACGAATCCCTACAGGAAATATCAGCAGATGTTAAGACCTAATGACATACAACTCAAAAACAACTCTTTGCAGCTTTAAATGATTGATGTTTTCAGCATATTTATATATACCTTGAGCCTCCTGGAGGAGAAAGGACAAAAGCAGAAGAAAAACTACTAAAGAGGGCCTCATCTGGAGAAGAGATTGTAAACAGGTAGGAAATGGTATCAGTATTTCAAAACTTCCAAGGCCAGGTGTTGAAGAAGATACAGAGTTAATTTGGAACTGTAGTTTTCTGTGGATATTGTGAATGAATGAAAGTACCGGAAGAGGGCCACAGGTTAGATGTATAAATATACAAGGTTTTTGGACCCACAGGGAAGCTGTCCAGCAGGAACTTTTCATAAGAAGGGGGATTTTTCCGCCACTGTCTTTTGTTCTTCCTTTGTCTTAATTTGTAGTGTAAAGTGCAGCCACTTGTCAAAGGGAACGACTGATCACTGATTCATTAGGGCAACCAGCTAAAATAATTCAACAGGGAAAGTGTGAAGCTTTGTGGGTCTTTGTTTAACATCTTATAATTCTTGCATAATTAAGTGTAGTTCTTAATTTGCTATCTAATTAATTAAATAAATCTAAGATTATAATTTTGATGTATTAGTATTTATGTTTCGATAAAGAAGAGATTTAATTATGGAAATAATCAAATTGATTGGTCAATCAGTTAATACATTGTGTTTACTTTTTAGACATCAAAATTCAAAACTATACATTAAATCATGTGCCTGGTTCTGTTCTATAAGATCGTGATATTGCAAAAAAGAGTGTTCAAGAGGGAAATTAACTTTTAGAATTTTCCCTAGTTGAAAAACTAGGTGAACTAGCACAGCTAGACTTCTTTTTAGTACATTTCCGGACATGCCCTGCTCTTTTACGGTAGAATGAGGATCTTGAGAATTCTCTGCCAGTGTTGTCTCATTGAGCACAAGCTGATCTTCCCACATGCATGCTAACATCCCATTACATGATGCATGCTAACATCCCATTACATGAGTAATATGTGTCTCGTTGTGTTTTAGATCTCAACTAAATGGTTTGCTAGCGCTGCGTAGTAGCAGGTAGGATTAATTTTTTATTACGTTCATACATGCTTTGAACAAGAAGAAAACATCTTATGGGCTACTTTGCCCCATGCTACTACCGTGGGTTTATTTTTTATTTTAAGTTAGTAGAACATTGGGTTGACTTAAATATTCCCCATACCCTGGATCTTTGTGTCAATCTATATATAATTTGAATAATTTTTTAATATTTTAAAATTAATAACAAGATAAGTCTATCGAGATTTTAGAATTTATAATATTTAAATTAATAATCTCTAAAAAATAAATTTAAAATCTAATTAATTAAATTACACCTTTCAAGATTGAGTCTATTTTTATTTATTATATTCACGGGCTATAAATGAGACATTTCTCCTCTCAATCAAATGCGGGGTTATGTAACATGATATATCCATTATTTTTTTCTCATATGAAAGTAAATAAATAAATTTGAGTGTTTTAATCTAAACTCAAATTCAAAATTCCATCAATTTATAATTAATGTTTATATGTTATAAATCTAGGTATTCTAGGAATAGTACTCCTCTGCCTACATGAAAATATGGCCTATCATGCTCGTAGAATCTATTTTATTACATGTGAGAAAGTATTGTCATAGTTGTGGTTTTGATTAAGAATTTGAATAATCAGGGTGATGGTTCAATTTCAAAATAATACAGTTTCTATGAATTTTTTAAACTAAACAATATTATTTTGAATAAAAATTAAAAAATAATTTTTGAAATTGACCTCATTTAATCTTATTCAAATCAACTGAATCATAAATTAATCTCCTAAAGATACTTGAATTTAACAAAGATAATAGTCAAACTAATTTAAAAAAAACTGATACAACCTAGATTTTAAGTTAGTAAAACATTGGGTTGACTTAAATATTCCCCATTCAATTATAATAAATACTTTATTGTTTTTTAAAATATGGAATTCGGAGGGTGTTTAAATGCATTAATACTATATTAATTGATTTTAAGAATCCTAATTTTATTATATTGTTTGATTTTCAAATTAAAACACATCAAAAGTAGAATAAAAATACCGTGTGAAAAATTTGACCCCTAAAATTTATAAAAAAAACAAGAAGCTAGAACTATTATCAACCATGCACCCCACAGAGAATATTGTTATCAATTGTTACAGTTTTAAAATCCAATCAGGAATAAGAATAGGTTTATGGGTTAATCCAAAAAAAAAAAGTTAACGAGCATTAGCTAGATTAGTTAAAAAAATTTATTTTATTTTTTATTTTTTTACAACTTGAATTAATCTACATCTAAAGTTAACTGAGCTTTAGATCAACTTGCCAAGTTAGTTTGGATTTACTGTTTAAAAATTTGCATAAAACAATTAACAATTGATTTTTTTATTGGAAATTTGTTTGGGAAAAAATTTACCAATTTACCATTCAATTTTTCTTAGATTTACTAACCCATCTTCCTCTTTCTATCCAATACATGTATTTTTACTGTTTGTGGTTGGTGGTTGATTGTCAATCTTTTATATTACTTTATATATTTGTATTTATTTAACATGATATATGTTTAACTAACACTCTCCCGCAGAACATCTACGAAGATAACCCTCCATAGATTTTTTTAGTCACTAATGTACGTATTCGCCATGGAAAGTTTTCCACATAGTCATTGTAAAACAAAGAAAAAAATGATGCATGTAAATATTTTGTGTTTAAAATATGATGCATGTAATTCTGGAGTGATAGCTGCTATCGTGGGATTCAGGAGGAAAGAAAGAGAATTTTGAGATTTTATTTAGAATCGACAATCAGTCCAATATCTGCAACATGTTTTCAGGTTGTTAGTTTTTGTCTTGTAAGAATCCTACTCAACTTAACAGGTAATTAATCATCCTTGGGTATCTAGTGCTATATATATATATATATATATATATATATATGCTCATGGAAGACAAAATCTATCGCTGCTATAGCTAGCTATAGTTTCTCTATTGTATTGTGTAGTGGAAAGCAGATATTGGTGGGCGCTGAGTTAAATATTTAAATTATCATTGATTACCATCTAATACAAACAATACGGTAGCACTTTAGAAATATTCTATTCTGTAATTAACTACTATATGTTGTTAATGATACGAATGCACTAAGCATTTCACTCAAACACAAATTACATACATTATTCCTTCCATAAAATAGTAGAAGCATCCAAATTCTAATTACTGTAGAATATGGACTCCATTTTAGTGATCTCACATTGGGAATATTCTTTTAGAACTTCAAATTTATATTATTAGTACGAGTTCCATCGATATTCTTTGGATATTTGAAGAGCGAAAAGGAGTTTTCTTTAAATGGATACTTGGGATTTTGCAACTGAAACCATGAATTTTTAAAAGATGAACTATATATCTTCATGTTTTTTAGATTTTAATTAATGAATTGGACTTTAGCCATCAGTTTTTTTGAAACATATACAATTGTTACTCTTTTAGGTTTGATATTTTTTTATCACTTGTAATTCTATATATATGTATCACACACCTATAGAATAATGTGTAGGTTTTAGAAGCTAGATAGGGACGGACTGAAGTCTAATTTTTTGTGCTCTCATAGAAGGCGTTGCTACATAAATTAACACACATTTATTTGTCTTATTCTAGAACAAGGTGATCGGTCCTCATTACATGGGATCAGTGGACATAATGTTTTATAGTTGGCATAAACTGAAGATACCAAAAAGTAAGCAAGAGATTATCGATCGGCCGACCAGGAGACATCACTTGTTTCTCGGACGCATTGGAACAGGTTGGAGCACTTATCAAAAGGGCACTCCATTTTAGTGTGGATACATGCTTTATATATGATATCATGTCTGGTTTTAACCGAACAATGCATCTTCACCGGATGGATCATCCTTCAATTGGTTGGGGATTTCTTTCCACTTTGGAGTCCCTAAATAATTCCAACTTCTTGTTATTTTATAGCTTCAATAATATATTGTTTGAACTAGGGCAACTCTATTAATAAACATGCCTTTAAGCTACGTGGGATCCATTGAGAGAGCTGCTATATATATATATATATATATATATATATTAGGATTGAAGCATTTACGAATCTATATATGGCTCATGATATATACTTGATCAAAGGATATAATAATGTGCCAAAGGAAACTATCGATCAATCACAAATTGTTGAGTGTTATCCTTGAATGTGTTTGCATATCTATGAACTTCGGGTCCCTTGTGTCAAAAACTGCTGAAGATTCATTTATAACTTGAGTTGTCCTCCATGCAAAGAACATGCTGGTGAAGTAGTAGTGCAGAGTACTTTATTTTTTTATATTAATTAAAAGTTATATTTTTTATCAGGTAATTAGGAGAGTACTTTATTTTAGTACTAAAGCTAAAGTTATATTAATTTTACAATTAATTTTTCAATCCAAAATTTTAGCTAAGAGGTTTAATTTGACTAAAGATAAAGGTAATTAGTAGAGTACTTTATTTGAACGAATGTCAACAGTTATCTAGGAACCAGGCACTAAAGACTTTTATCTCCTAAGGGATAAGATTAGGGTTTTGCTATTAGGGAAGTCTCACTTTCAACCAGGGACTGATGGTTGAAAATGTAGAGATTCGAGGAAGGACTATCCTCCATTCACTATCCCCATTAAGCCTCCTTAGTCCTTATTAGAAGAAAATTCATGTGCAAAGATTTTCTTCACCCGATTGCCCCATCACTTCTCTCTACCTAGGTTTTGTACTCGTTATTGGAAGAGAATTCCATGACGACATGCATGAAACAAATGAGTATAATTATTAATGTCCCCACATCCTTTAACATGAACAAGATCGTCAAAGCAAGAGTAGGAACCCATCTTCTCAGACACAAGTAAACAAAACTCGGTTAGTCATAGATGTTGAATTTTTTGTTAACCTGTCTCACAAAGCGGGCATGCAAGGCAAACAAATCTTCCATTTATATGCCACTGACAGCACAGAGATATAGATGTGATGGCCTTGTTCGATCTTCACAATGTCAACACACGCATCCCTTTCAATGCCTTCCCATGCCTACTTGTTAAAACCCTCACATATTTTTGTGTTAGTATTATCACATGGCCAAGAGCCCCGCCAGCAGTGGCTGCTTGCGATCAAGTCAGTAGGGTCAGGATGGTCCGGCGAAATTCACCGACAATATAGAAATTAAGTCATTTGATAGACTTGGTGCCGTTCATGGAGTGCCATGTACACGTGTGTGAGAGATCACAAGCTAGACTGTATTTGGTGTACACT